TCTCATAGTTTCACCATGCGGCTCATGAGTTTTAATGCCACAATAGTTCACACAACATTGAATATCTCATTTTTGTTCTTTCAAATTGGAATAAGGGTACTCTTTCCCCCCTTGTTGGGAATCCTATCCTTAGTTAGTATAACATTGAATAGCATGGTGAACCATTCTACTCCAACCTCTTTAAGACACTTTCACGGCATTTTTACTTCCGTTGGAAAATTCTGTGAGTGTAGATAAAGTTTCTACTGTGCACATACTCATGGAGGTCCAAAATGTTAGTTGAACAATTGATCAACGTAGCCTCTCCATCTTTGCTTGACTTTGTCATCTCTTGTCACCACTTGTTGAGAATCTGTAATGCACTTCATCTAGTTTATGATCTTACCCTTCTTCTCTTAGTCATGCTAGTTTACACATATCTTTCTCCCCTTCTTGCGTCTCTATGTACTGGTATAAGCCAACCAGAGCTTCCTCTCAAGCTTATAGTAGCCTTTTTAGTTTCCATGTGGCTAAGTTGTTTTCTTCTAAGGCTTCTCTTTCTTCTGCTTTGGCAACTTCCTATAGCACTCCTCGTTTAGTTTAATAACTTCTTTGTACCACCTTTTTCCACTACTGGGATTCGTATGGTGAAGATCCTAGACTTTTAGACACATCCAACACTTCAGTTGCTACCTTTTTAATGCAACCTGACATTTCCGTCCCCAGGATGTTTGATTTCCCTGTCTAAGTCTCAAACTCCATTCTCTCGTAGTTTTTCTTGAAATGCTAACTTGTTAGCTCCCTTTAATCCCAGCCACTTAATTTCGAGGTTGGTTGCAAGTCATCTCCTTTCTCTCTCTACTCTTGTGCTTTACGTCTAAGACATTGTTAGGTTGGGAGGTCATAGCTTCTCCTGGAGTAGGGTAAGATTTGCATACACACCACCCTCCCTAGACTCCACTTGTGGGATTACACTAGGTATGATGTTGACTATAATTACCTCCATTTTTATAACTTATTAAGTGAGGATTCTCTTAATAAAATGTGGGTTTGCTGCCACTAAAATCATATGCAAAAGCGATTCGAAGGTGTATTTTCCATTGTCATTCCTAGTACCATAACTATAACCCCCGTGTATTTGTTCAAAACCATCGCTACTATTACCTTCATGACCTTTTAGTTAGTAAAATTTATTTAACTTGCCATTGAAATGATTGCATTTGTCTGCAGTGTTCCTTCCTTACCATTTCTATTTATGCATAGTTTCTCTTCATCGACAATTATTTACTCATCTTTTCCTTCCACTTGATATGGTGTAGTTGTTTTCTCAAAATATGGAGACTCATTTGCAATTACGTGAGTCAAGGTCCTTCATCCTTTTATTATTTATAACTTTTTATTTGGTAAGACAGAGAGAGAAGAGGGATTTTGACATGGTCATAGGAGGAGGGTATGAATGTCCTTACGTTAATAACTTATTGTGTGTAAAATGATGGTGCAGTCCTGAACTAATTGAATGTTCATCAGTTGTTGAAAATAACCGTTTAGTGGTCGTTTATTGACTAGTTAACATTTTTAACTTTATAAGAGGTTGAAAAAGCTTAGTGGTTGGATTGAATTTAGCTTTTGAATCTGCAGTCATGATTTTGGACTTTTCTCTTCAGTGAGAAGGTTGATTGAGACAATATTTCGGGGATTATTGTAGTTGGAGAGTGTTTAATGTCCTATGGAGTTTTTTATCTGCACTATTATTGAATTTCGGCGAATGACTTGACGGCGTCATTTTCTCAGGTGAAATTGTATTTTAGGTGCAGGTAGCAAGTATATAGATGTGTGCATAATTCATTTCTGCTCTTATTTGGTTGGTGTAATTTTGATTCAGCTGTTGAGAAACTATTAAATCTTAAATGGTTACATGTTATATGTACATTTTTTTTCTATTCACTCATGATTTGGCCTGGTTGACCCTTTTCATGTGAACTTATTTTACCTTATCAAAAAATTTCATGTAAACTTATTAATATACCAATTGTTTGCTTTCAAGATCGTCAAGGGTTTTATCTGAAGGTTGGACACTGTTTTGTATTTTCCATAAAAGTAGCTAGAAAAGAAAATCAAGTATTGAAGGATTTCTTATTCTGCAGGCATTTCTTTGTCGAATATCCAAGTCCATCTTGTGTGATTTTGACTTGCTATTTGTGGTGCAATCTACTATCAGTGATTGCTGAGTGAATTCTTATTTCCCCTGTGTTGTTTTTGTTTCTTTTGTTTCTCTTTTCGTCTTCTTAAGTAGTTTTTCTATTACTTTGTTTCAATTTGTTTGTCTTAGTTTGACTGGACATGTAGTTTAAGAAAATAAAAGAAGACTTTTGAATTTTGTGGTCTTAAAGTAAAATATGTTTAATGTATCAAATGCCCTTTAATCTTTTGATCTTAAACATGCCACGTGGGATGTTGAAATTAAAGAGTTGCCAGATTAGGCAAGAGACATTCTTTTTGAAATAGATAGACTAAAAATAAATGAAAGTAGGACAAACAAATTAAAATAGAGGGAATAGTGTTTTATTTGTATTGCTGCATAACTGCATTCAAGTAGTAGTATGAACTTCTGTTTTGTCATGCACTGTAATGCATCATGAACTTATACTCTATTTCATAATTTATTTTGTATTTCTCTGTTCAAGATGGAATGTAAATGTTTACTTTGTTATGCACTGCAATGTTTCATTAACTAAGCATTCTGTAATGCATTATTTTGTGTTTTCTTCCTTCAAGAAGTAATGTGAGCTTCTCCTTCTCATGCATTGTAATGCCACATGACCTTAACATTTCTTCGTTATATATAAGAATTGAAGCAACGTTTACCCTCATGTATTTGTAAAGCAGCATGAAATAACCCAGTTGCATAATTCTCCCAATTGGAACCCAATATGATAATCTTCTGTATGCAAATAAGCAGGCTGGTGAGAATGTGGAGGTCAATGCTCAACTGTCATCAGAAGCAGTTTCAAGCAGTGATGGAGAGTAAAACAAGGGCTCTCAGAGCAAATACGGGGTTCCAAAGAGATTCGAGCTTGAGAGCTACTCTTGAACTTGAGGTGCAACTTTTGTCGTGGTGTAATCACTTCAATGATTGGATTTGCTGTCAGAAGTCCTATGTAGAATCCTTAAAAGGGTGGCTTCTCCGATGCCTTACGTATGAGCCAGAAGAAACCCCAGATGGACCTGTCCCTTTCTCTCCTGGCCGTCTTGGAGCTCCTCCAGTTTTTGTAATTTGCAACGATTGGAGTCAGGCAGTAGAGGCAATCTCTGAAAATCGGGTAGCAATTGCAATGAATGATTTTGCTTCAAATTTGAGGCAGCTTTGGGAACGACAAGATGAGGAGCAGAGACAGAGGATCAAAGCAGAATACCTCTCAAAGGACTACAAGAAACGGTTAACCATGCTTCAGCAAAAGAGAGGGGGCTTGAGGCATGAGCAAGACACGATGTCTAACAGAAGTCACATAATTGCTCCATCTGAAAAAGGGATTTCACCATTGGATGATCTAAAGGTGGACTTGGATTCGTTCAAAAAGAAATTAGTTGAGGAGAGAACAAAGCACAAAGATGCCATTAAATTGGTGCATGATGCAGCTTCTAGTAGTTTACAAGGGGGCTTACTTCCAATTTTCAAGGCTTTGGAGAACTTCACTTCAGAAGCTCTGAGAGCTCATGAACAAGTTAGGCTACAGAGTGTTAGAGACGGTTCATAGTTCCTCAATTGAATCTTAACCTTGTTTTCCTATTTGAAAAAAGATGGTTGAAGAGTTACACCACATCAAATGGATCGCAGTTGCAGTGTCATATGGATATTACCAAGAAATTTAGTAGCCAAACCTTGAAAGAGAGGCAAGAGATGGGGATTTCATATTTTTAATGTACACTGGTTAGAGATTTTCGACAGAAACAGATGTGGATCAATGCACATTGGTGATTGCTGTTGATGACGAGGTGGCTAGGAGAAGTGCAGCTTTTCAGAGGGTAACTTTTTAGCATAACAGTTGATCATATAGTTTCAGTTTTGCCCTTTGACGTTAATAGGTAGGTTCTTGTATAGTTATTCATTTATTTGTTGATTGGGTTGTACTGGTGGATGATCATATTCTTGGCTAGCAGTTTATGTTGGATTTATGGTTAATTATGGTCGGGAAAGGCTGAAATTAGGGACACTTCTAAATCTTGTGTCATATGGTAGAATGGATGAATGAAAATTTTGGCAATGGTGCAGAAAATAAACTAGTTCCAGCTTTTCCTTCCTGTCAAGTTAGGTCCCTACTTGGGAGAAGTAAGTTCATTTCTTACCAATGAACAATCAAAATCATGTCAAATAAATGGTTGGAAAATCTAGTACCATCATAGAAGATGTGATTGCATATCCCCTTCTCAATTCAGACTTATTGGTCCCAATACTTTGTATTGCCCAAGAAAATTGAAACTACTTGTAGGTGGTGGACTGAGGGTGATCAATATTCATGTATAGAACAAAGCAGTTATGTGCAAATTGTTATGAACTATTTGTAATAAAGGAAAGGACAGCTATGAGTTCAAGGTGTGTACTAGATGCTACAAAAGAAGACCCAATCCAAAGGATGGGTCGCAGCAGTGACAGCCTGACAGTAAGGGGTGGTTTTACGGGAGAAAATAATACATGTATTAAATTTGATATTATTTAATCTTTTGTTTGATAGTGCTTTTATCAATGTATACTAACATATGTATTAGTTACACACTATTGAGTATTATTTGATACAGGTTAAAAAACTCAAATATGTCGTCAAACTAATCTAAAAGGCTCAGTCATGCCACTCATTTAACAGTTGGACATACTTATATCAAAAGGTTGAGTTCCATCAAAATTTAAGTGTTCAGTATCAATTTGGATTTCGGACCTATGTACCAAATACTTCCGTAATCAATCAGCTTGGCCAAACAGGGTAGGCAACAGATAGAAGTCGGTATAAAAACAAGAGGCATTCAAGTAAGATTCAAAGGCTCATGTTTCGTAAATAACTTAAAATTGACAAGTTTCTCTAGAAAACCATTCAACATACAAAGATGCAACTAATCAAACCACTGAAACTTGCTACGATACCTAAATCCTCGGAAAATCCTGCTCAACAGAAAATATTTGATTACAGACTAGGGGTAAGGGGCTATATTTGGGTTATGGGGGGGGGGGGGGGGAGGGTAAGCAAAGGTGGAGATGTTGTGCGCTTGTTTCTTTCTTCTCACTTGGCTGGAGCTTGTAAGTCAGTAAGGCAGCCAATGCCAATGCCAACTGTGTTAGAAGACTCCTTCATTTTCATCCTGTCAGAGGTAACTGAGGAAATTTAGACAATATAAAGCAAACAAAAACCAGTCGAAACTGATTCTAAATATTAGTATTGTCTAAAAGCAAGTTAACATTTTCCCTGTTCTGCATAGTAGGAGAAAGGAAGGGAGAAGTTAGGGGCTTTTCCCTTCTCTTGTTTGGTATATCACTCGAACCAAACACAACAGAGAAATATTTTCCGTTGTCTACTTCCCCTTTATTTCTGTTCCTTACACTAGATCCGGACAAAAGAACAGAAGACCAACAATTTTCATGTGTTACACTAACTGCAGCAAACGGAGCTTCTGAAAAAATAAATAACAGAACAAAAACCAGAGAGAAACATCCACTAGATATTTCTCATACATCTTAACATCCGATTAAATTTCATTTCTTGTCCATTTCATTCCAACTACTTCCAAAATTTACCTCAATACTTACCCCTTTAACCAAAACTGCAGAAAACACTAGGTATTGGTTAAAACACATATAAACTGACGAGTGGTAATAATGTTCAGACCTACAAGTACAGTTACCTTTAATTATAGCTCATCTTTTCCCGGAGCCTGCTCTGCAGCCTTATCCCGATTCTCCTGGATAAAGTCAATAATGTCTTCCTTGGTCCTCCCACCTTGATGCTGCAAGAGCTTTCCACTTGCTGACTTGAAATAAAGAGTAGGATAACCTTGGACCTCAAAAGTTCCTTGTGGAATATCATTAGCAGTAGCATCCTACATAACAACAAACGAAGAGTTCATTAGAAATCTCCAATAATGAAATTACAAATATTTAGAGAAGATTGCAGTATATCGACACAAAAAAAGGAGCCAACATGTACACACTAAGGTGAAAGAATAGCGGGACTTTTAAAAAAAAATAAAAGGCATGGAAAGCATGAGAAATTTGCTAAGTAGCAATTCATGCAGCATGTACTCTTCAAGTCTATACTCGCAAGCAGATACTTGATGCCACGGGCTTGATCCTTTTACCTTCAATCCTATGCAGCACGTCACTATGCTGGTAAGCACTTAGCCCTAGTTATGATAGCATTTATTAATTTTTTTTAAAGTTGTGATAGCGTCAAAGTGAACATTAAATGTACTTTGTTCAGACTACATGTTTACTCATTCTCGTTATCTGGGTCCAAATCTAATCCAGTTTTACATAACAAACCGCAATCGCACACTATTAATGGCAAAAAGTTCCAGAACCCACTTTTAATTCCTAGATTACATTCCTCTATTCTTGAAACCAAAAAGAACATGGTGGCCCAATATGTTTCCTCCATTTTCACTCTACAAGCAACAAACAAATTAAAGGTTCGCCAATATATTCCAGAATTATGAGATAATGAAGAGTTTTGAGTGGGAAGCTCACAATTTTGGCAATCATAACATCTGCATCACTTTCGAATGAGACAGCCACTTCATCAAGGATTGGGGCCAACTGCTTGCAGTGTCCACACCAAGGGGCATAGAACTCAATGAGTACTATAAGAAACAACAACCACATGAATTACCGTTGCTGCATATCCAACAAATATTCTAACAAAAGAACATGTACAAGTTCAGGAAGATGAGCAAGATGAACACAATGATAATGCGCCTGAGGAAGAAACTGAAACTATGCCACAAAATTGACTCATAATTTTATGTCATACTGAACCTAAATACCTTGTGATGCAATTTGTTTAATTAATAATATGTGCTATTCTGCAGATGTTGAACATATAGCATATATTTGATACTGTTACTTATCAACACTTTTTGAGAATGCATTACTTATCATTTTTGAACAGCTCAATGAGAAGAAGTTGGAACAACTTATCTCCAAATAACTGTTGTAAGTCAGTCTAGTATGCTTTACAAATATGTGAATGTCATGCTTAAAAGCCATGCGAGATGGTGAAATATACAATTTGAATTTCAAATACTTATACTTCACAAGAATGAATGAGAATTAAGACAATGAAACCTATAAGAACTACCTAAGATACAACTGAACAAAATGTAAGTAAAAATTGAACATTAGGTAGGAAATACCATTCTTCCCAGAGTTGAAAACCATATCCTGGAAATTGTCAGCAACCAAAACTTTAACAGGTTCGCTGTTAACTTCTGGGATAGGTTCTGATTTTTTGAAAGGTTTCACCTTGCCGTCCTGAAGTTTGATTAAGTAATTACTTCAGACACTATACAAGAAACAAATTGCCCATAGAAATAATGTTTCTTGAGGACTTCTCCTTTCATTCAATTTGCTATTTATTAAGTAGAAATTTGAATGTAAGAAGAGGACTCCAGTCTATTTAGAATGTACAAGAAAAGGGATATAGAAGATGAATTTATAAAGATAACGGACGAGTAAACCTGGGAGAAACAATTAATCCAAGAGAAATGGGTAAAAGAAAAAATGGTGAAGACAGGGAGAATCATCACCTTAAAATCCTTAACCCATGACGCAATGTGATCAGGCTCAACATTTGGTTTGAGATATTTCTCTCCATCATTTGTCTGTATGATGATTAGAGGTGTCTGATCCTCTTTGAGTCCAAAGTACTGCTCAACGAAGCCAAATATATCATCATGTTAACATCAATAAACAACAAATAATTCAAACACAAATAATGAGAAACCTAACCTGGAAGGCACCTTGACTGGCCTCAACATCACCAATTAAGAAACTAATATCATTGCCTTTGTACTGTTCAGCAACTTCATGATACTTGGATTTGAAACTATCAAATAGGTCATTGTTGAAGTTTACGAACAACATGGCCTGCCAGTTCCATACTTTTTGATAAGAAACTACTCCCAAATGTAATTGGGCAATTGGGGGTTAAGGTCTCCAGCTCTAAGTAGTCCAGCATGAAGAGATAATTAAGGTTGCAGTTGCACTTCAATAAAGAGATGATATTTGAATGCATGAAGTATTGAAGTGCATATCCAAGTACAGCAATCATAGAAAGATGATAGCAGAATCGGCAGAAGATATGCAACGTCAAAAGTAGAGCAATTCTTAACTCCAGCTCTAGAAAGTACAAGCTAGTAGGATATTAAACAAGCAGCAGCAATGAGAAACAAATTTATTTGATAAAACACTGAAAACCTCAATCTTTTCTGGATGTCCCAGAGAAACAAAGATACTTTTAAGAAAAAACAGATGAATATTGCACTAGTCTTTACACATCAATCTTTGCTTGTGGCGCTTTATCATTATACATGAAGAGTTCATGTTGATTGCAGAAACGAAAGAGCATCTAAAGAACAAGTGCAAGGAAAGCCCGTAAATTAGAGGTGAAGAATATAACTTAAAAGAACCTGCCAAAAAAACCTTAAAAAATAAAATCTTGATCCACATTTACTCTTCTAATATATAAAACAAATGATCCTCAAAATGGCAAACAAGAGACACCAAGAATAAGAGAATTAATATCAGCATTATGTAATTCATCTGTATAGTGTATAATTTATATCGCTTCTATTATATTTGAATAAAAGAGGCCTATCAACAAAAAGTATTGGAAAGCAGATGCAGGTTTAGACAGCAAGACGACTATCAGATCTCAACAGGCAACATAAATCTGGCAGACTAAGTAAATGCTGCACCTTGTCATTTGGACTGTTGAAGAATTTAACAACAAATGGATGGTTGTTGGGGTCCTTGTTATATACAGTCACAGTAGGAATAGTTGCTTCTTCGACTAACTTTGCCAAGGCATCCACATCGAACTCCTACAAATACATATGATCAATTGTTGGAACTTTGTCTAGTACATCAGAAAATGTAGAAGAATTTTACACCGACCCAATACCTGAAAATCTACAAAAAGTTCATCAAAAGGCTTGAATAACCTAACCACAGGGCCAGAAACTGATGAATCCCCACGAGGAAGGAGTTTAGCATCCGAAGTATGACCAAAATCATAATCAGCACGTAATCTCCCAGCCACAGCTGTAAAATTCCCAAATTTCTCACCGGAGAACTCGGGAAAGACCCCAACCTATAAGAATTTAAAACCATACTCATTAACTCCAATTCTGCAGATCCCTCAAGGGAAAACAATATATGAAAAACATACACAAATCAGTGTGAAAGAGAGTGGTTGTTTGTGCATCGGGTCACCCTGGTATGAGCATATGCTTTTATGAATGTGTATACATATATAATGAGAGAGATATAGAAAGGAGGGGGCACTTACGATAATGATCTTATTGACATCTATAAAATCTTCTGCATCCTTAGATGATTTTATTTCAGAAGAAGCAGGGCCACTTTGTTTCTTCACGTAAGAAACAATACCATCCGCCTCACGTGGTCCTTTGTAATCTTGAACAACGCTACCTCCATACCTCAAGATCTTAAGAGTGGGGAAACCTTTTATGTCGAACTCACTGGCAAGAACCTTGTTTTGCTCCTCACTGGCATCAACTTTGGCCAGAACAACTGGTGGATCATTCTGGCTTAAAATTTGTGCTGCTTTCTCATACTGCAAATCAATCAAAGCAAAATGTTTAAATATATTGTGCTTCCTTATGCTCCAAAAGGCTATTACTCTTTTAAGATACTAAAAGGAATGTGTTAGTGGTTCTTACTTCTGGAACAAGCTTCTTGCAGTGACCACACCTGTAAATATCAAAGTAATTAATGAACTTGGAAAGAAAAGGTAATTTGCTTCTAATTTGAGGCATCAATTTTTCATATAACTTAAATAGAGACAATCATCAGAGATAAGAAACATAAATGCTAGTAATAACATTATTGATTCAATTATCAAAATGCACTAAAGCTTCTAGCTTTGACCGTCTAGTCAGAGAATCAACTGTATTATTAAGTCAAATTAAACGTCATTCACAATTTCATCATTTCTAGAGGAAATTGTTTCCAGTATTTGGTTACCTTGAAATTCGGAAATCCAAGGGACCATGGTAGAAGACTTCATCCCTCATAACTCACTGTTCTTTACAAATATCCCAACTCTTATTTTACATCACTTACTTCATTCAAGACTCGGACATTGTTATCAAACATCCCTTTTTTTGTGTGTGTCTACCTCAGTTAGTGAGTCTACTATTGCCAGGAGAGTCTATCGAGGTTGCATGGTAGAGAGTGTTGTCCATCAGCTACTCAAGGATACCCCCAAATAGTTATCCTACACCTCGTATGATTAACCTTATATCTCCAACTTTTATATCAAATTAAAATATAAAATACTTGCCCAGCAGAAAATTTCCATGAAAACCATATTCTGTCATGAATTAACCAACCTAGATCTAAAATAGTAAAAGATCCAACTTATGGTATTCTCCGTAGCATCTGTTGTTTAAACTTTCATTTACTAACCCGTCATAGTTTATAACAAGACAAAATCATTCCTTTAATGGAAACGAAAAACGGAAGACATGAGCTACAGATTCAAAAAAACACTACACAGTTTTTAAAAAATAATCGATCAAAGCAATGTTTACCAACAAATTGAAGTGTAATTGATTAAATTACCAAGGGGCGTAGAACTCGACGACGATGAATTTGTGTCGACCTACAAAATCAGAGAAATTGGAGTGATCTAAAGTCACAACGAACTCCTTCGATTGAGTGTCTTCGTTCTCAGAAGCGTAAGATTCCGATCCTAACAATGCGAAAACACATAGAAATAACGAAATCCAAACCCTAATCGCCATTTTTATCACTCTTTTCTCTCTCAGCTCACTGAAAAATATCTTCAGTTTCAATTTTCATTGTGGATCTCAAGAGGAATTTATATAGCAGCATTTTGCAGATGGGAGCTTTGTGCGGAGCTTTACAATGGAAATGTCTAAATAACCCTGGTTTATTTTTATTTTCATTTCAATTCTCTTATTAAAAGAGAAAAAACTATTTTGATTATAATGACTTTTCTTTATGATATTTGGGAAGATTTTTGAGACATTTGAGTCGTTTCTATGGATGTGGTAAGAATAATAATTTAACATCAAAGAATGTAGTACAGTGAATGATGTTTCTCTTTTCTTTATCACAACTTTCAATTTTAAATACTAGATATGAAAATATTCTTGCTTTCCCCTTCAATAGATTCTACTTAACATAAATTTAAATTAAGTAAATTCAATGCAAACACCAAATGAGAAACAAGCACAATCTCTATGTTTTTTCTGCTTTTAAAGTACCTTTATTTTTTGTCTTTTTCGATGAGATAATATTCAGTTAATTTATGTATTTTATAAAATTGTTCGTCAAGTATAAATCTACAAAGAAAAATATATTTTTGAATTTTCTATTAAGTGTTAGATATTCAATTTAATATGTGCTACAACTTCTTGTGTAGTATATATTTGTTATTACTAGAGTACATGAGGTAAAACATATAGTAATTGTTCTAGTGTTTACAAAAACTGGAAATATAGGTGTTAGATGACGATGGGTAGTAAGGTCATTTCCTCAGAAGAATTTCTGAAGTCTTCCTCGTGATCCAAGAGCCAAAAAAAAAAAAAAAAAAGTGTTCAGTTAGAGAACGGGACAAACATGGTCACTACTCCCCTCGTGACTGACAATACACCACACTCTCGAGTAGCGGAATCAAAAATTTTAATAAGAGGTTCAAATCTAAAAAAATAGATATACGAAGTAGTTGAAGGAGGTTCGACATCTACTATATATATCTAAAAATTATTTTAACCATATATAAATAATACAATTTTTCGCCGAAGGAGATTCGGATGAACTCCTTGAGTTACTCAATGGTGGCTCCGCCACTGCTCGAGAGTATAAAATAAATTAAGCAAATGCACATTCGCTCACCAACTAGGGTTGTGATGGAGTGGTCTTATTCAAGAGATCTCGGATTCGAGCTTTTTTGGGTATTGAGTCGCCTTTATTAGGAGTGTTTTACCTTCACTGTGGAATTTTCTGGCGCGGATTTAGTCGGACTCGGAGATAAGAATGGGACACTGGGTGACAAAAATAAGTACTCGCTCTGTGTTTGTTGGGTCATATGTAACACGTGGAAGAAAATGATTTGTGTTTACAATACATGCGCCAAATGAAACATGGACACCTCTTCAGCGTTACGTGCCGCTTTGTAAACGTTGTGAGAATGGCCGGCTGCTCTTTTTTTCAATTCTAGTACAAGTTTATTATTTTTATTCTATTAATTGATTGGATTTTGAATATATTTATTCATATTTTAAAAAAATATTAACTCAATGTTAATAAATTGATAAAGAAAAAAAATGTGATTTCTTGATTTGTCAAAAATGACAAGTAAAAAAGGAAATAAAATTAAAAAATATTTGATAGATAAATAGAACGGAGGAAGTATCGAACAAATCCGACTATATAAATAAATACATATTAAAAAAATTAGAATATTTATATGTGTAATTATATAATTAAAAAGGTAGAATCTTACACTACATTTTTTTATTTACACTTTGGATTCGTAATCTAGGTGTTGGCTTTTATATTAATTCATTCCATTCTTTGTTTTTTATTTTCTAGTATGATTTGTTCTCTTCATATAAATAATTCAAAGAATCTATTTCAGGTTTAAAAGAATTTGTCTTTTGAGTCTTTAATTATTCATGATTGCTTAATTCAATTATGGTTAAGATATCTTAAAAATCACAAATCATTAATTTGCACAACAAAAAATTATTGTAAGAAATTTTATTATATTCCTTGAAAATGGATAAATTCTTGAATAATGCATATTGCATGTCATTTTCTCGAGAAATTAAAGTTACATATTTAATTCCTTCTGTTATTAAAAGGGTAACTAATTTGATAGTGTTATGGTAAAATTTAGTCAGTTTAATACTATTTGTTTAGAAGTATGTTATTGTACATTCAATAAAAAACAATTTATTTTTAAAAAAAATCAATAAAAATCAAGGTAATGTAAAATCAATTTGATTTTCTATTATGAAAAAATCGAATCATGATCTCACTTAATTAATATTGACCAAATGTGTTATATGCACTAAACTTTACATTGGAATTTAGGATCGTCCAACCTAGAATTTATGTGAACTAATGCACCCTTTTCTGGATTATATTTACAACAAAATATATTTTTATTTTATGTAAAACTCAAATTCAAGAATGGACATGTGCATAATATTATTTTATTTTGGTCTAGAAAAATCAAACATCTTACTATTAATTAAGCTAATGATAAATACAGGAGGAGTGTTTACGGGTTGGTTATTTGTCAAAATCAAAATCAAATCAACTTCATCAATTTTAAAATTGTCAAAATCAAATCAAATCAAATATAATATACATTTATCTGTTTGGTTGTTAACAGTTTCGATTTGGTTTGGTTCAATTATTCGGTCATTAACCATACACAAAATAAAAGAAATAATTCATTCAAAACGTGAAAAAGTGACAACAATCCATTCAAAAACGAAAAATAATTAGAATGACTAACATTATAGAACTTTTGATCACTGAATTTACTATGAATAAAATTTTAAAATTCACAATTTTGTCCTAGAAGGAAGAAACAATGACTTTTATCCCACAAAGAATTATCAGACACTTATATACATGAAACCAATAAGATAAATATTCTCACCTTGAACACTTTTGCTCTCATAAATAAATTATAAATAAATTTTGATAAAAATATATATAAGATCTTTAAAATAAAAATAATATATTATGTATGTATAATATATATATATATATATATAATTTGGCGGTTCGGTCAAGTTATTTCTTCTATTTTTTCAAACAAAATCATAACCAAACCAAATACTATCAGATTTTTTAAAATCTAAAACCAAACCAAACCCAAATAAAATTCATTTATTTAATTGATTTGGTTTTGATTCTCAGTGTAGATCAATTTTATCCAAACCATGAACCCCTCGTTAGAGTTATCAAAAAAGGCTAGCTCAAGCCTCGCGGGCCAAGAAATTTGATGGACTAGGGCGAGCCGGCCCTTCATTTGAAAGAGCCTGAAAATGCTCAACTCAACCCAACCCTAAAAGGGCTCTGGACTGGGATGGGCTAGCCCTTCTTTTTTTCTTTTTCTTTTTCCTTTTCAAACTTAAAATTATAACATCAAGAAAATGAGAAGATTTTCAAATCAAATATGGCAAACAATGATGTTTCAATAACACTAGCAAAAAATCTAGTGTGATTAACATGAATCTAGGATACTAGATACGTGAGATACATGTATATGATGTGATGCATCCGAGATACGCGAGCGAGACAGAAGAGAGACGAGAGATTTGTCTATGTATCCTAGATACATGTGAATCCACTTGAATACAGGGTATCAAGAACAAATTAACCTAATTTTGAGTCCATGTATCCCGATATACATGTATCTGGACGTATCAAAATTTGATAATATTCATAATATTACAACATAGAATGCATTTAAGTAATTAACTCATATACTAGTGAGATTGTTGTGAGTTATCCTTAAACAAATAGTTTTGACCTATGGACCGACCCCAGCCTGGCCCCAATCAAGCCTCAAGGGCCAAGGGCTTATATGAATCAGGCTTATAAACCCTAGTTTTAAATGGACTTGAAAAATCTCATTCTGATTTTACTCCAATAACGGATTGGATTAGACCTGTCCTTGCCATTTTGACGGCTCTACCCCTCGTGTAAGGATGGTTAGCCATCGCGCGGCCATTATTGACCAAATGAATCGGCATTACGGAAGAAAATTAGCTAAGGGTATAATGAAGTCTACATTAGCTATAGTTGGCACACTAGTATGATCAATTTGTTTGTAGCATTGCCCCTCTGGTCAAAAGGATACGACAAAAAGAGGCAATTCTTTCAAAAGAGAAATTTTATTCTAAATATTTAAGTCAATTAAATATGCGAAAATTGAAAAATATTTTTCTCCGCACCAAATCAACCTTAAGTGTGCAGTGTTGTTAAGGAGGTAATAAAAGGAAATAGGTTTAAAATATCTCTGGATACTTTAGAGTAATAGTATGATAAGTCAACTTTTTATGGTGACTAAATTCTGTTTAACTGTTTTTTTTTTCTTTCAAAAAATGTTTATTTTAGAAAGTTAAGTGTTTGGTCAAATTATGAGAAAAATATATATATATTTTTTGTGGTAGTGTCTGTAGAGTGAGGTTGTTTTTCAAAAATTAAAAAGCAATTTTATCGTAAAAGTACTTTTGAAACATTAACTAAACAAAAAGTATTGTCATAAAATATATTGATAAAAGTGATTTTGTAAATTAATTAGCAAAATATAAACTAATACTCACTTATGACATAATAATTATATAGGCAAATGTAGAGGTTATTGATGTATACTCCAAACAAAATACTTATCTGTAATGACCCTCCTAGTCATTTTTGTGTTTTGCCTTCGGTGTGTCATTTAGAACATTTCTGTAGCGACCCCAAGTCATTTATGACTTGTTGGGACTGACAGTTCGGTCACCTGGTCGTTCGTTTGACTTTTGTGCGAGTTTTAGTATTTTTGGAGCTTATGAACCTTGAACGATCGTTTTCGATCTAAAGTTCAAGAAGATGACATCAGAATCCAATTTTGACAATTCCATCAGCTCCGGAAGGGTCATTTCAGCCTAGTAGCATGGTCGGCATGACTCCCGAAGTTTTCAGTGTGAGTCGGTGCGATTAGGCGTTTTAACTTTAAGTTTAAGCCTAAGTTTGACTTTAGTCAACATTCTGAGTAAACACGCTCGGATGAGAATTTCGTTAGCGCGATTAGCTCCGGAATGTCGAGTTTGGTCTAGGATGACCCTTCTTTTGTGTCCCGAGGTTTCCGATATTTTTTCGAGTCCTTTTGTGGTTTTTGACTTAAAATGACATTTGAGTGTGGGACCCACTTTTTTGTCAAGATGACCTCTTATGGAAATTTCGACTGCGCCATTGAGTCCGGAATATCGAATTTGGTATGGTTGTATATATCGTTTGCGTGCACGGGGTTTCAAACGAGTTTGGAGCACCCCGTCGGAGTTTTAAGTTTTGGAAGAAATTGCAGAAAAAACTGCTATAAATGCAGAAAATATAAACAACCCTTTCCAAACTTAAAACACTCAAACTCTCATATCTCTCAACCGAATTAGGCAATTCGAAGTGCGGGAGCTTCGTATTTTTGGTGGCTTCGCTGTAGAGTGTTCGGAAGTTGTCGGGTGCGCGTCATTCGAGGTAAATTTAATTAGATACCTTATGTTAGGATTGATTGGCCATATTTCGGGTGTAGTATCATGTTAACGGGTTTAGTAGAGTTGCATGCTTATGTGCTAAATGCTATTGTATGCTTGTATTCCATGTGTTGTATGCCTTGTTTATCCTTAACCGTAAGCATGATGTCCTTAGTGTAGGTTAAGCTAGCATTGCCTTAGATTTATGACCTGTGTGGGCTGGATAACCTTGACTTTATGCCGACGTCGTTCGGATGACTTAGCTCCTTGTAGACTGGAGTAGCAGACTTGAGTCTAATAGTTTGAGTCTTAGATTAGGCGTTATCGCTGCTTGCTGCACTTCTGTATCTTCTCCCTCTAGTCCCGACGCGTTCTCGAAGGTTTGGTGCATCACTAAAGGTGTGAGATTGAGATAGTATAGGCTTGGAGCCTTTTCTGTGATTTCTTAGAGTGGATGGCGTTCCATGGTGGCTGTTGTTGGATTGGATCCTATTAGAGATACCATCACCCCCGGGGTTGTTCTTTCTAGCTGGGCTGGGAGCTTATCGCTAGTTGGGTAGACTAGGTGATATCAACGATCTCCCACGGGCCTCTCTTTCTAGCTAGGCTGGGAGTGTGCTGCTGGCTGGGTGTCCCCGGGTCGTTCTTTCTAGCTGGTTTGGGAGCTGACTGCATGGTAGGACGACTCGCGATATCTACCTCACTCACGGGTCCTTCTTTCTAGCTGGGCTGGGAGTGGACTGTTTGGTTGGGTGCCCCCTTGGGTCACTCTTTCTAGCTGGGCTGAGAGTGCACTGCTGGCTTGGTGGAGTCTGATGGATTATCTTGGTTACTTTGGGTTGGAAGCCCGGTCTTCTTCTTTCTCATTAGACTTAGTTATTCTGTGTACCTGTCGGGCTTATGGGGGTCCGTTCATGTTTTATTTAAACTTGCGCACTAGTGTACCTTCTGGGCTTATGGGGGTCCAATTAGGTTTAGTTTAGTTGTACTTAGTTTATTTCTGGTATGCTCATGTGCTTTCTTTTCATATCCACTTTGACCTTTTTGTGTCTAGATTCTATTATTTTCTTATTGTTTTTACCCCTTTTTGCTCAATCGACCTGTGATGCATACTGAGTACCTGTTGTTTTGGTACTCATGCTACACTCTACATCTACTTCGTGATGCAGGTCCCAGTACCAGTTACCAGCGGTGATTAGTTCCAGCCTTCTTTTGCAGCTGTGATTTGGAGACGAGGGCGAGCACTTGGCATTTTGGGTTTGTCTTGTCTCATTCTTTTGTTTTAGCTAATCTTGTTGCCTTTGAGACACGCTTTGTTGTGGTCCACTTTTGGGACTTGTACTCTTTATTAGATAGCTCTGTAGTAGTGACTTTCAGGTTCTGGGAGGGATTTCTGTATATATTTATTTTGATTTGCTTCCGCCTTGTTGTCCTTGTTTACATTATTGTTTTCGCTAGTTTCTGCCCTTTCGCTCATTGCTTGATGTTCTGGGTTACGGGTTGGCTTACCTACTGATAGGGCATAGTAGATGCCATCATGACTCGAGAAATCGAATCGTGACATTATCGTCCTCAAAACCAAAAGAAATAAGGAAAAATGACTTTAGAAATCGCCCAAAATTTCCTTGATTTGCTAAGTAAATAAAAGATACATTAAAAAAAAGAAGCAACTTTTTGAAAGCCTGACTAAATAAATTATATGACAAAGATAATTAAATGAATTTACTGTATTACAAAATATCTATATCGAATTTTAAGATATCAAACCATATCGAATTAATTAAATATTTTTAAATACCATCATAGTAAAAATTACCGAATTAAACTTTTTAATACCGTACCATACCCACCAAAAACTCCTCTGTGGTCCTTTTAAGTTTTTTTTTCCTTCTATGTGTTATGCATTTCTTCTAGCTAATATCTGGAACTTTGACATTAATTACAAAATGGAGGCAAGTAAAATAATATATAATTTATAAATGCATGGTTAATATATATATTTTCAAATATCATGTCAGCATATTATAAATATAGCTACTGTTTAACTAGATTCGAAATGGCGACTAAATTTTAATTAATGGCTTAAAAACTAGGCATGCCACATTTATTCTTTTAAGACTTCATATAAGAATTTAAAAATAAAAATAAAAATAAAAATAAAAAAAAAATAATATATATATATATATAGAGCAAGAAATATTTGTGATTCTCTGCTGGATGTAATATTTGATATAATTATATACTTCAAATATTTTATTTATTTATTTTGTAAAAAGTATACACTTTAAACAATACTTAAATTTACGTGTATCGTCACTTTTTATCAAGTGTGGTTCAAATTTGTCAACCTATTTATTTTTTCATATTCATATTTCAACATATATTTGTTTGTTTTTTTCTTCAAATTTGAGATGGTATATTATTGATAGATTTTAAACTAAACCAAATGTATATCATTTTTAAAGTTTTATGTTGACTCCTGTTTTTAATTATTTTTCGATAAGTTTGAACGCATCTATCATTGAGAAATATTGTTAGACTTGCTAGATATATTAGTTATATTGGTTTGGCACACTAGTAATAGGGCAAGGAGCTACTGTGTTTAATTGTGTGATTAGATGTTTGTCATTATTATTGGACATAGTAATTTATTAAAACTTCATCTACAATTCAAACAAAACAAGATTGAAATAGTATTTACGTGATTAAGAAATCAAACTAACCAGATCGATATAGTTGGTTTGGGTTGATTTTTGATAAAAATCGAATCAAACTGACTCATGTATATACCACCACATACAATATTTTACATTGTATTACTTTTTTTTATTGGAATCCAAGGATAACCCATAGTCGCTATTTTTGTCCTAATCTTTGTCCTTCGGATGAACACTCTATGGTGAGCACTGGGTAAACTTCCCACTGTGTAATAGCTGCAAACCACACAGGGGATGTAAACCGCACTAGGCAAGCCTATGCGACAGGTCAGAAGACATTGAAGGGGAATCGATCCCAGGCCATCCGTGTGGACGACCACCCTCCAAACCAAAAATAATAATCAATAAATATATCTTTTTTGTGATTTTTTTTTGGGGGGTTTTACCTGGTGTTTGGTACCCACATTGGATCCTGACAAATTTGGATTCGCGTCAGAAAGTCTCACATTAGTGGGTAAAACGCTCCATAACAAAGGCGACTCCGTATCTAGAGATACTCAAACTCAAGACCTTTGGTTAAGGATAAAGAAGTACTTATCACTACACCACAACCCTTGTTGATGAAACTTTTTCTGATTTTAGGTTGTACAAGCATCTTCCTCACCAAAATTTTTGAAATACCTGATGATAACCTTCCATATTGGAAAGAGAACTTGTTAGATGAACTGCTTTACTTTTTATTTTTTTCCACTCGATGTTTAGTATGTATTGAAATTTTAATCAAATAGTCGGATATCATAATGCAGGTTTATTCGGGGATAATACTCTCAATAAAATCTGCTTAAATTTCGTAGAGATTCAGTTAAAAAAACAACTTCAAAATCAGCAGGTTGGTGATATTATTCCTCATGAGCAAATCAATATGGCCAACTTACCAGTCTCATCCAATAAATTGCTCTCAAAATTTGTCGCCAACATAAGATATTGAGACAGTTATAGTGAAAATAGAGAACAAAAAGTCATTGAGACTTGAGTAGTTTATTATGCGAAGATTTGGTCTACTTAATTGTGGTATACACATAATGTACATATTGTATACACAATTAACATTTATACTTTTTAATTTATATATATATATATATGATATGGCTAGAAGTTTTAATTATCTTTGACGAGCGGTCAAATCTGTAAAGGTCATTTGCACGAATATCCCTATTTTTAAGTGATAAGGAAAAATAAGTTATGCCGCTTACTTACTACATAACTTATATCATTTAGAAAGATAAGTTCAGTTCGTAACCAACAAATGTAAGACATAATTTTAGTTCCTACAAAACCCATAAAGTTATATCTTCCAGGCATAACTTATTATTACAGATTTTAAATCTTGCCATATAAGATAATAGCTCTCTAAACTTATGTCTTGCGAATAAGATGATATACGACTTGCGAAATTTATAGTTAAAAATACTTTAATCTATAAATTTTCATTTAAATAAAAAATAAAAATAAAAAATCACCTTGAAAAAGGGACTATCCGTGCAAAATCTTGAATTTGTATTTAGCTAGCTAAACGGGCCAATAACACTAATGAGCTGGACATCAGTGACCCAACGAACAATACCCGAATAACTTGATTCTCAAGCCTACCAAAATACCCACGAATCCTCTAGAAATTTTCTTCAACACTCTACGCCTTTCTTCTCCATCTCTTCAAAAACTCCACTTTGCAGTTTGCACTAATTCATAACCCAATCAACAAATCAAAGTATCATAAACAATGTTCTTCTTCTTCGTAGGAGGCTTAGAGCAGCAGGCGAGACAGGTATTGAAGAGCGGGGCAGGGAGGTGCATTGCGTGCGGATCACGCGCTGACCTCGTCGATTATGAAAAGGTTCTCAAGTTCTTCTTTGTTCCGGTGTGGAGATGGCCGGGAAAAGAGCCGGTGATGTACTGCAACAATTGCAAACTCTTCTTCCCTCAATCTCTAACTCCTCCTCCGCCGTCATCCACGGCTGAGGTCCCGGACGTTCTTAGGTGTCAGTTCTGTCGCCGGGAAGTGGACGGCGATTTCCGATTCTGTCCCTTCTGTGGTAATGCACTGTGAATGAATATTCTATATGTAATAACAGACGCTTCAGGGTTTGAAATACTTTGTAATTATGTTACTCTTCTTGTCTTGTAATTAGTATATACATATCATGTTGTTGAATTAAAAGATATCAAAATTTTGTTTTAAGCAATTCCATCCATGGACTCGTCACTGAAAGAACATAAGTTTGGACGACAAAAATACACTTTGGGGCAAAACAGCTAGACATCAGATCTTCCTATTACTTCATTTTGGCGAAAAAATTGTGTATACAATTCAAAAATTCGAAAAGATTGATACTATGATACAAGTTGGAGGACCATTTCCATGACTTTCAATAGAGCCTCCAGATTTTCTAGGAGGCATGCTAGGGAAAACATGAAAGGATTGATGGGCGGGGTCAAGGTTGTTTAAACTGTACATGAACCTAAAAACAATTAGTGTACAGTTTATTTTTTACAAGGGAAGCTATAATGAAATCATCTCATTTTCAGGATGCTCTGGTATATCCTCAGAGCAACAAGTGTGGCAATTGCGTTATATACCAACAGAGATTCTCAGAAACTGAAGTTCTTCAAAGAACTAAGGATCATCTTGAGATGTAAAATCTATCCTTGGATTAGTTCCATGTTTCATTTGCTGAATGGCAATTGCTTTGCTCCACTCTCTACAGCATCTCTCCATATTCTATACCTCACTCCTAGCTTATCGTATGATACAGGCAGGTTCCAAATGTTAGCACCCTTGAGCATCCGGTCTTGTTGACCAATCACAAGCCGTAGGTCTTCATTTAAAACCTGAGAACGTTTATGCAGGAGAACTCGTCATTATAGGTATTGTGATTTGTGCAGGTGATGCATCTTGAAGAAGTCAATGACACCGATTTTTACATCATTACGAGTTATATGTAATGACAGACACTACCAATGTTAAGGATAGAATCTAACCTGTTCAGCAAAATGCCTCCACACATATTGCATGAAAGGCATGTGTTTTAATATGGGAGCAAAATCCAGTGACATCCTATATAGCAACCTTGTCTTCTGTCGAGATGCAGGTAAACATACATGAAGTTGGTGAAGGTGTGTAGAGCACTCTTTGGTGCTCTGCCCCTCCAATTTGCCTGGCTTTGAGATTCCAATGGTTGATAGAACCATACAAGGTGGTCGAAATTCCATATCTATTGGATAAGGATCCCAATATCCTTGCAGACCCGATGCTGGAGTCAAAAAATTTACAAAGCTGAAAAAGAAAGGTAACAAGTGTTCACATCTCTGGGCTATCATTGCCAGACTTTATTAATCAGACAGGTACAAGAACCACCACGCCTTCACCTTCTCCATCAACAAAGTAAACAAGAAAAATATAGTATCACATTGTTTTGATTGTTAGAAAGTGGAAACATCTTTTTTAGCTAATTGTGCTCCATAATATCTTTTTTCTACGCAATGTACATGAGCACGAACCATTGTCATAGATTTGTAATCAAGATGACAAATTTTTTATTTTCCATGAAACTATATGAATTCAAATATAAAATGTAGTCAACTCTCCTTTAGAAAATTCATTTTGGGACTTGAAGAATTATTGATCTGTAAGGTAAGAGTTATCAACTAATCTAACTCAGTATCCTCGAAAAGAATCTTTTCACATTGTAATCCAGTATGTTGTTAAGAAAATATGCAGGACACCAAGAATTATGCCCTCAGCTCCTTAATGTCTAAGGTGGCGATTGATTTCAACAATGGTTGGCATTTTGTTTAATTTCAAACAGAAGATTTGTAAACTAGTGTTACTCTTAACTTCTAAACTATTTTAAATCATTAGAATAACAACAAACCTTGGGACACTCCATCCTTTAGCAAACGTAGATGTATGGGTGAAAGGTGCATGGGCAAGATCCAACAGATTGTCTAAAAGCAACCCATGTTCCACTGGAAGTTCCATCACTATCTGCCAGTTTAAAGAACAACAAGAATGGAGCAGAAAGAGTTAACTTACTGTTGTTAGATGGTTTTCCTATTAACAATTAAAATGGTTTTTCAGTGATTCAAACCTCTGCATGGATTTGAAATCCAGAAGGTGGAAGTAGAGAAGGAAGAGTGGCTGTAGGAGGATCATTTCCAGGCCAAATCCATATCATTCCTTCTTGCTCAAAGCATGGCAGAGATTTGATCTTGACATTCAGAAATTTTGTTGATGGCATTTTCTCACATTTCCCGTCTGTTGAATATTCCCACCCTAAGGATCATCAAACAAACGTAGAAGTAAATGTCAGTTATTGCATGCACTCTCCACGTATCAAACACCAAATTGATCAAGTGTTTTATTATATCCTAGATAGGAAATTTGCACTGAAGAATGCTTAGATTCGTCTATTCTCACCATGATAAGGACATTGGATTCGACCCTCTTTCACTGAACCCAAATGAAGGGGGCAGGCTCTATGTGCACATGTGTTCCGGACACATCCAGGTTTTCCATCTTTCCCACGAAAAATCACCCATGGTTCCTCAAAGCATTCAATTGGTATCTGATACATTATAGTCAAATAACCATCAACATACGAGACACTAGAATACAGCAAAAACAATAAAAAATGCGTTCTCTTTTCTCTCAGAAAGTTAGAAAGGAGATGGTACAACATGTTATTGGTTGGCATCAGAGTATTGAATCAGTTCATTTTAGTAATTTATTATTTAAGTATGTCCTTTTCATTTTCCCAGGGGACTTATTAGTTTGTAGATATATATAACATAGAAATTGGTAGCATGTTGTCTGCAGTTCTGCAAATAAGATTATTACATAAATCAGGTAATTGACTTACCATGGTGTCATCCTTAATATCAGCGGAGAAAGCAACAGGATACCAGAAGTTCTTCAAATGGGGGCTGTATTCTTGAACAGGACCTGACACATTGAGGGTTCTCCTAGGCTGCTTGCTTTTAACAGTGTCTCTAGATACTGTAGACATACCAGGAGATGAAGACGGTGAATCTGATTCTTCTGTACTCCTCTCTGGTAGAAGCCTATCATTAACCAACGCTTCCATGTAAGCTAGCTTATCTAAAGCAGCAGAAACCCGCACCTCAGATATATGTACCTGTTGCTATCACTACTTTAGATACAAATCTTGGCTTATATGGAAGTACACGAAATCCTAAACTTGCTTTTTGTGTTGGGTTTTCATTTTTCTTTTTGACAAGTAAGATTCTTGAACTAGTTTATCTATGATTTATGAAATTAGCCATTTTTTCTTAAGAAAACCTGTTTTGCTTCAATAGGTTTTACAGATAAAAGGAAACTAAACCTGAACAACCAATAATAAAGGGAAAATATTTGATGTGTTACATATCTACCCAAAAATCTAGAAAGGAGTAACTTGTATCCAACAGCATAACTTTGTTCAATGGGATCAAAGTAGTATATACCTCTTTATGGGCCTGAGAAAGTGCTTCTTGTAAATCCGCGAGTTCCTTCTTCACAGTTCCAATAGATTTATACTCCCGTGCTAGAGGATTCAATACTTCCACAACCTACTCACACAGTATCCACCAGTCACACGACTTAGTACAAGGATGAAAAAGAAGAAAACTATGACGAGAAAAAATTGAAACAATGCCAAAGAAGGATTTATCACTAATTAGCGGAAATGAAGCTAAGGGGTAACACATGATGTACGAGAATCAACCTTTTCGTGCAGGAGCATTATCGTAAGTACGTCTTGACGAGCTCGCCAATCACAATACTGTATATCAAATCTAGCAACTTCTAAAGCTTGATTTGCATCCAGGAACTTCCCTTTAGATTGAGGGAATTTTGACCTTGGATCTTCCACATCAAAGATTGTCAACCAGGAGCTTTTCTTGTTTGTTAACTCAATACCCGCTGCCTCCTCATACACTGCAAACACTCCAAAACCACCTTTGAAACACTGACAATGAACAAATTGCAGAATTATCGTCCACTCAATAATTCATCTGATGGAGAAAATGCAAGTTGTGTACAGTTCTGTATATTCAGATTGAGATAACTTCCCAAATAATCCAATGGGTAACTGATTACTACATGAACTACTACTTTTCTACCCGATACACATACACTAGAGCATAAAAATTAAAAACATGCCACAAATAAGTTATGCAACAGAGTCCACGAGGAAGAAGCTCATTCTTTCTCTGGTTTTTAGTTAGAAAACATTTTCCAGCAAAAGGAATAAATAAACTCCCCTCACTTATGGGCAGAAATCATTTTGCTTTACAACTATCTTAACTGGTAACTTCATTACTTGATCCAACCAACACTTAGTACACATTATTAAGACGAAATAATAGTCAAAAACACAACTGAAGTATCACTTTTAACGAATTTTGTAAATGCACTTACGTTTCTTCTCTCAACTATCACCGGCTATTAATCAAAAACACTCATGTATTTGAATACAATCATCAAAAAGGCACACGACAACGTAATTTGCCCATAAAATGTCGTCTTCTTCAACATGTCAATTGACTCATTTTAACATTTTTCTAGAAAAACACTTAGCAGCTTATATACTCTCTCCGTCCCAATTAATGCAATTGTAGTGTGAGATATGTTTATGTAACTATAAATCATGTATTCGAGCAATAGGAATAGTAGAAAAGAGTTACCTTTCTAGTATAAGTCTTAGTTGAGCGGCAAAAAGAGAAAGGAAAAGAGAGAGCAGCAGAAGTAGCAATAGCGGACATGGCGGGGCTGAAGCAGCTGCTCCTATCTTTTTCGAAAAAAAAGATGAAAGAGACGGCAGTTTTCTCTTTGTCCAAGTAAACAAAAGAGAGAGACAAAATGAGGCTTCAATTTTGAGGGAAGAGGGATTTCGTTTTGTTGATAAGAGGTTGAGTGTAAAATGAGAAGCGCGATCTCGACCTTCCTCCCACACTTCGCCACGTGGATTTCTTCGTTTCACACGTGGCGTCTTCGATCTCCACATGCTTGTTTCTTGTAGGGCCTACATCTTCCATTTGCCAGCGTGGATGGTGGAATTATATCTTCTTTATTTGCTTTCAATTCTCATTGGCTATATTTTTGTAGAAAATCCATTCTTCATCATTAATGTTAGATTGTTAAATGCCATATCCTTTTTATAACTCTGTCATTGTCAAATCACCTTAGAAACAGTATTGCAGTACTAGTTTATTGCCTAAATTCTTAATATTAATAGGTGTTTATAATTATTTGAAAATTATTATTCTCCGTTTCTATAACATTTTCTTTTTAGTTTGTTTAAAAAAAATTATAATGAGTGTAATATTGAAAACATACCTAAATTTGGCGTAAATTATTACTTCCTCCGTTTCAAAAAGAATGACATCCTTTTCTTTTTAGTCTGTTTCAAAAAGAACGACTTCTTTCCTTTTTTAGTAATATTTTAATTTCAGTTTTCCACGTGGCATGTTTAAGGCCACAAGATTAAAGGGCAATTTTGTACATTTGACATAACTTACTTTAGGACCACAAGATTCAAAAGTCATCTTTATTTTCTTAAACTCCGTGCCAAATCAAACTAGACCATTTTTTGTGAAACGGAGGGAGTAGTTTATTCTCCAAAAGTATTGATAGAAAATACTTACTTGACTAACTAAACTTAGAGACACTCCTAATACATCTCCATCTGTCACATGACATAACAAGTGATTTCAAACTCTTGTAGGAGCATGGGGCTCTTAATAAAAAGTCGAGAGAAGTGTTGAAAATGCCCCTAAATTTGGCAAGAATTTAAGGGTGTATTTCACTTGTGTTGCAATATCAGGGGTGTATTTAAGTTCAATTATTTAAATAAAGGGGTATTTTTAAAGCTGTCAATAGTTCGACAATGAAACTAATAATGCACGCTCAGTTAGGGGATGTTTTCAATACTTCTCTCATTTATAATTAAAAAGAATTTAATTTTACAATTTCACGTTTATCCTAATAAAATAGTTTATAGTCACATAAATATTTAAGATTTATTTTACATCATATATTTCAAAAATCTTTTTTTTTTTTTTTAAACTTTATATAAAGTCAAACGGTATCACGTAATAGAAGAAGCAATACGTTTTGTCTAGTTTTTGAGTAGTCAAAAGATTTTTTTTTTACCCCAAACAATATGCTTATTTTAGATAGTTAAAGTGTCCTGACAAGATTTTAGGGGAGAAAAACTTCGTAAATCATTTTTGAGTACCAGCAAAGTTGAAAACAAAATAGAAGCTTCTTCCTTGAAGCATTTTTTGAAATCTTAGCCAATCATAAATTATTGGTCCAGTATTGATTAAATTAAAGTCTTCTACAAATTGGTATATCAAACGCAATATGTTATTCTTCAAAAATATTTTTTCAAAATAAACAGATTTTGAAAACTTGTCGACTACATAGTGTTTATATCATGCTGACATTATATAAATAGAGTGTCCCAACATTTAAGACGGAGAAATTGGAGGAACAACAAAACGTGTTATATTTAGTATAATGTTGCATCTTGCTTCCGTATTTAACTGGCTGATGCACTAATATTGTAGTGTTTCACTTTCATGCAAGTATATTCAATCAAAGGGTCTCTAATTAATGTGGCTGAGCATTAACCTGTAATCGTAAACAATGTTATAATAATGTGGTTATAGTCCTTAATAAGCTGGTTAATACTTTATATTATCTCTTTTGAGTCTCCAAAAAGTGTCCAATGGCTTAAATCCAAAATTTATGACATTTTTGAGACCTTAAAAAGAGAGCCAGTAATCTGGGTAAGGTGTTTGCATGAAGGATGCATGTTTCCTTTTGAACCCCATGACCAATCTTCTTTGAATAACCAATATTTACAATCTTTTAAGTTATCTTGCACGCACAGATTTATAATATGACATATTTGGTTCTGTTTGTATTTTAAAGATATGAACATTCTCTTAACAATCAAAGCACATATGATGCTAATTAAACAAAATTTAATCAGCCATTCCTACTTATAACCATATGAAAATATGATGGCAACAATGACGGCACAATCTCAAGAAGATTACAATTCGGCTATATGAATGCTCACTGACATCTACACCTCGACTTTCCTTTAATCATATCCCTTTTGATTTTGTTACTCAAATATACTCTTACATTTTAGAGCTGAATTCCACTCTTGCTTCGAGAAAACAACTTCCCAAAACCATTTCTACTTCTGGATGTTGTCACTTGAGTAGCTGATGATGATGATGACGAAGAAGAGGATGATTCCCCTTCATTTCCGTTCATAGAATGACTAGAATTCTCAATCTTTGGAGTGTCTGAATTGCTGTTTCGGGTAAATGTCTCGTTTACATGTAATTTCCATTCCTCTCCACTAGCTCCAGCCACAACTGATCCTTCCCCAGAAAATCCAGGAAGATTTGCAGTGTCTATCAAGAAATCTTCTAAAGTGGCTAGTGAATGAAGCTGCTTCCCAAGAGATGCAATTGTTTTCTGGCATTCTGCAAGCTTGTCAGCAGCTACAGCTAAATCTTCCTGCAAATAGAAAAGCTTAGAATTTAAGAGCTTCAAGACTTTTGAACAGAAAAAGAATCCGTTGAGACAAGCGTTACCTGCTTTATTTTCGATTCACCATTTGAACAAGAAGCTTGCTGAAGTTCAAATTCCTGGGATTTTCTTCTTAGTTCATTTTCCAATTCCTGGCACTTAGTTTCCTTCTTAGATGACAATGATCGTTCTCTTTCGACTTCTGTCTTTAAAGAATCAACGTTTGCAGACATTGTCCGTGCTTCTACTTCCATGCCAAAGAGTTGAAACTCAAGCAACTCTTTTGACTCATTCACTTCATCTAGCTCCTTCTGTAGCTCTTCCAACTTCATTTGAGCTTCCTTAAGCTGCAAATCGGACATCTTGAGGGCATCTTGGCTCTCAGTTAAAGCATTTTCCAGGTCAGCTTTCTCTGCTTCAATTTTCTCCACCTTTTGCTCTAATTCAACCACCCTTTGTGAAATGGTTTCACATTCTGCTGCCAGGGGATTCTCTTCACTTGATGAGTCATCGGCAACAGCATCAGATGTAAGTGAAGAGGCTTTATTCACAGTTTCAGATACTGCAGCGAGTCTCTCCATCTCCAAGAAGTCATCCATCATGTCAATTTCTAAAGACTGGGCAGCGAGAGTTTTAGGCATAGCTTTTTCGTGCTGAAATTGATCGAGCTTAGTAAAAAGTCCTGATGCCCATGAATCAGAGCAACTTTGATCACATTCACTTGTTTCCAGTTTGCGCATCATGTGGCTATCAGTGTCGACAGTCTTCAGTCGATCTCCACTACCGGATTGACTATTGGTGAAGGACTCAACAGAGAAAGATGAAACAGCAGAAGATCTTTGGTCACTGAGTAGGGATGATTTGCGAGCCAAGGCTTGTAGTCTTCGACACTCAGCTTCAAGCTTGGTCACTTTCTTTATGCTCTCTAACTGCTGCTTACTAGCAGTTTCTGCTGCTTGGTTGCTCAAGTCCCTCTCAATGGTTCTAATTTGCAACTCCTCTGAACAAGATGAAAGGTCAATTTTGAGAGCTGTGTTCTCCTTCTCCAGACACTCGAGCCTGACAAGAACATTAGGATCAGTATAAACAAGAGAACCAGTTCTACTAGCCTCTGCTTGTGTCTGGAGCTCAAGTAGCTGATATTCAAGTGCAGCTTTTTCAGATTCCCATTCTTTTTCCTTCTCTACCACAGCATCTTGAATACTTTGCTCCTGCTCATCTCTAGCTTGTCTCAGTTGTCTGACACATTCCTTGAGAGCACCATTAAGATGGTTGACGCGAACATCCAAAGTTGAGTTCTGCTGCACAGCTGTCTCAAGTTGCTGCTTTAGAACTGCAACCTCATTTTCTGCCTTTTCCCAACCTACCAAATATTACAAAAACATGGAACTAATCAAGAGAAAAAATGCATGATAGAACAAGTTCTAAAAAACTATTTACACATGTGATTCATGTACAGCAAAAGGGCTGGAAATAGTCTAGACAGTATTATTTTTAAGATTGCATTAAAAAATGTGGAAGAAACGAAACAGTGAAAGATACCTGCAACAGCTTCTTCTGCCACTTTAGCATGCTGCTTAACTAAGTCTTCTTTTGCACTAACATTAACTAGAGCAGCTGATAGCTTTTCTATCAACTTCTTTGGACTTTCCTTGGCTTCATGATCTAGAGTTGCAACTTTCGAGGTTACTTCCGGTGACTGAATGTCATTATCTGGAGTTTCTTTCAACGGATCCTGCTCCATAAAGCAGAAATTGCAAGTGCTGAAGTGAGAAAACCTAAGTTAACAAGCACTGACAAGGAATTATCAGGAAAAAAATGGCAAGGAGAAAACAAAATTGGAGTTAAGGCCCCCGGAGCGTGGCATAAATTATGATAACCTATGCTACTCAGTCTCTCCAAAAATTCTGCCACCCGTGTCGGATCCTCAAAAATTGCACTACTTTTAGAGGATTTACACGCATCCAATCACACTTTTGAAGAGTCTGAGCAACGTAGATGATAACCGGTTAACGGAGGCCGAAACAAGAAGAAATTTACTTCAGGGGGATGGTTTTCTTTTGAGGACTCAAAGGTACTATGTTTAACAATCTGTTGATTTGTTTTGATTCTTTTGTACTATGTCTTTTCTCAGTTTATGAAAGCACATGTATAATCAGTTTACCCCTTTTAAGTGTTTTTTTCGGTTTTTGCATTAGTATTACCTTACCTGTCAAAAGCAGAAACATTCAATGCTAACAGTTTTGGCTTTCAAGTAAAAAAAAAATTGTGCATTAGATCTCTAGACTGGGAGTGAGGCACACAACAGTAGCAGGTTTGGGATAAGACTTCATCATTATAATAGCTAATACAACGTAAAATGCATACTGAGCCAATGGAAGTCATTATTTTCTCTAGTTACTCTTCACAGATAATGAAAGATGTCTGGCTGCTCAACCAATGTGGGACTGACATAATCAACTCCATGCTCACACCTGCATTGGCTTTTGGCTTTGCAGATATTAGACTCATGGTTTTAGAACTAGAATCTTTAATACAAAGCTTGAGTCAATTAAAACTTAAAATTTCTCACTATCCATCAATTTGATAGTTACTTTCAGTAGATATCGTAAGTACGAAATTTGTATATGATAAATGTCATTTGAGAACCCTTATACTAGGTGGATAGCTGGCTCCAACACTAAATGTTGTTTCCGTACTTCCAGTTTATGATTAAGTCATTGATAGCTTGGATCAATATAAAGTTGATGCCTTGAAGCTTTCAAGCATCTGGACTTTACCTCAACTCCGTGACCCTAGATAGAACCTTACAAATCCTTATAGAATCATTTGCAGTGATTTTCCTTTAGGCATACTTAACACATGGCAAAAACTTTGTCAACGGTTCATTGAAAAATGAAGGATCCTGAAACATTCTTGGATAAAACTTGAACCCCCACAGTTCCATAAACTGGTAGACACAATTCAGGGAGAAAGAGGCAGGAAAAAATTGAAAATCTCATACATAAAAGACAACCAGAGTCACAAAACTACAGCATTTGCAGAAACAATGTAGAGAACAAACGCTGCACGGAATATGAGCATTTGCGATGTAACATTTTACTAACTTAGTAAATCTGAGCTTCATATTCAGCTCAAACACTATCAGCTTGAAATATAGCAGACCCCAAGTTGTTTGGAACTGATGCAACTATTGTTGTTGTACTATCAGCTCGAAATAAACATGCATATGAAGATTTAAGTATGTGACTGTGAGTAACTATCAATGTATTTTATCAAATGTCTGATGAGCTTAGCTTCTTCATATCAGCAAAACTAATTAAAAGGCCAAAAAGAGATCATCAAAACAACCTTGAAACAGAAAACCTTTATTTATTGCATTCTACCTGCTCATCAGAATGTCTCTCTGAATGTGAAGACAATGATCCAGAACTCTCAGTTTCACCAATGCTCTTCTCAGAAGATCGCCTTTTCCACAACCAATTCCTCTTGTCCATCTCAATAACCAACTAAATCTCCTACAAGCTCATTGCTCAATGTCCACCTACATATAAATGACACCATTAATCAACAATAATCAAACGAATCAGTAACCAAACAGATAATCTTTAACAAGTGGTCCATCCAGATTTACGTAAACAAAAAGCTATGCAATCAATATATTTATGCCTACAGTCTTCAACAACAAAGATAACATGGTTTCACATTCTTATACCTTTCCTTCAAATCCACTCCACTAACAGCACAAGTGTATTGACACCAAACATACCAAAACAGAACCAAAAAGATATACATCTCAACAAAACAAAAAGGCACCATTACTGAAACTACAAAATAAAAAATACCCATCTAACAGAATCCATCAAATCCTCCAAAAATAACAAAATCTAAAACCCCCTCCTCCAGATTAACAATAATGTATTGACTAAATGACCTGGAAAAAAAAAAAACACTCCCACACCTCAGCTTCAATTTGTTTGTCTGGCTTTAATTTGACCCGGAAAATTAAGAAACTAAGTACATTAATATTTTTGAATATTGTGATCATAAACTAAAAATACTTAGAATATATCAAAATATACGAAAACAGATCCAGGTCTGATTATAGGAATCCATTGGTTAGAAAAAAAACATATACGAAGAAAACACACCTGAATGAAGACCAATAAAATGAATAATAAATGTGAAAGAAACAAGAGATTGCGTTAATGGGTGATGAGAAATCAGAATGCAGAACCAATGAAGTCAAGTCAAAAGATGTGTGGAATGTCAGTGGAAATGTATACATAAAAATAACTCCAAATACAGAGGAAACAATACTCTAATGCATTAAAGAGAAAAGGGTTCTTTCATTTTTTTCGCCATTTTAAAAATGGCTTTTATTGAAGCGAAGGTTTTGGAATAACGAAAAGGACGCAGAGCGCATGTGATGCAGAATGGAAACCTGCAGACATTGCACTTTCTTCACAGCACCTTTTTTTAAGCTTTCTTTTTGTTTATTTTGAAATTAATATGAGAATCATTCCCGCCTTCTACTAACCAAGTGGTCGAATCGCACTCTGAAATTCCGACTTCAATGTGAGTATTGCACACCGAATGGAAATCATAAAAAAAAATTACTCCAAGGTGTATTTAATCAAACAAAGGAAAAATACATTTAGTTGTGTCATTTAGAGTTGATATACTCTAGTTACAAAAGTAGTTCATATATATTTAGATACTTATAAAATTGGCTCACATATATGATATACCCTATCATTACAAAATTCGCTCATATGTATCGCTTACCGTTACAAAAATAACTCACATATATCCCTACCTTTATAAAAATGATAAATTATTTTTTTATTTTTATTTTATTTTTACAATCACGTATATGAACTTTTTCACACATAAATTATTTTTTTGACTTTTTTGATTATTATTATTTGATTTTCATATTCTTATTTCATTTTCTTGCTCATTCTTTACTCTTTAGTGTAAAAATAAGAGAAATAAAAAGAAAGAAATGTGAATGAAAAAAAAAGAAAAAAAATTAAAACTATTGTTTTTGCATATATATGTTGTGATTTAGTTTTTATATTGTGAAAAAAATTGGGGTATTTATAATAAATTTTTTATAAGAAAATAAGTGGAAAAAATTTACCATCAAAATAATAAATTTAAATTAGCCGTTGAATTAAAAAGAAGTCAGAAAAAATGTGTTAGAAGGATCAAATGTACTCCTAGATAGACTTTTTTTTAATTAAAAAAATAATTAATTTTTCACTTCTGTTAGAGGAAAAAGGTATATGTAATTCTTTTGTGTAACAATATATATGAATCATTTTCATAATTCTAAATAATAAAGTTGAGAAATATATCAAGCTTTTTTCTCTTAAATTAATCTTGTTAATATTAAAATTCTATTTGATTTATTAAATAGGACAAGTAAAATAAAATGAAGGAAGTATAAATTTAATAATTTGGTGCATAGGAAACCTGACAGATATGTGTGCCTGAACTTCTACGCTTCCTCTGTATACTTTTGGTTCCTTCAATTACAAGATCTGCTCAAATACACTACTCCCTCTCCTTCATTTTATGTCTCTTTTACTTTGGTTCGATTTTGAAGTAGAAATTTAAAAATTAAAATTTTAAATTTTTGATTGTATTGTTTTGTTGTTTGTTAATGGTAATATTCACAATTGATATTTTAAAAAAATCTTTTAAATGAGGATTAAATGACTTTTCGAATGAAATTAAGAAAAACAAATTTTATAAATGACATATTAAATTCGTTGTCTCCTCCCCAACTCTGATCCCCCACTTCCCGTCTTGTAATGTTTAGCTAGATTACACACAAATATTTTAGAAAATAAGTAAAAAACTCACTTGTTTTTTCAATAAAACATTTCATTTGTACCAAACACACTCTAATCTTGTTAAGCTAGGATTTGACCCCAAGTTCTCAAATATTCTTGGCAAATTATATTTGGGTGAAGTTTCACCATGTGCTTGGCCCCAAGTTTTCTTTAAAATATTTGATTATTTAAAAACATATGATTTACACTCATAAGTTTAAAAATTATATAAAATACCCATAAATTTATATTATCATTTTATAATGAATATGTTCCATTAAAAATAACCTTATAATATAATTGGTAACAATTAACAATAACAAAATAATAATATAGGTAGAGGCGGCTCAACGTAAATGGGGGCCTAAAGCGAAATTTCAATTTGAAGCCTAAAATAAAAACAAACTTCATATTCATATGCATATTTATTCAAAAATTATTTTTCTTACACTATTTAGATGAAAATTATTATCTAATATTATTTTTTCAGTTATTAGTTTTAGGTAAGATTTTATCAACTCAACATTGAAAAACATCCTTTCAGTGAGGCAATTACTATATGAATTGTAACATATATCTATAAGTAGTAAGTTGACAGATTTTAAATAAAGATAAGAGTTAGAATAATAGAATTTGATTCAAGAAGTTAATGACTTGGTATACCCCATTTTGTAATGCTTGAAACTAAAATTTAAAAAGAAATAAAAAAGAATTTGTAATTCACTTTGTTCAACACTTTTCACTATTAATTCTTATTTTTAACAAAGTACAAAAGTTATTAAAGTGGGTAAAATAATAATTTTTTCTTAAATTATACTTTTTATCATAAATAATCAATTTTTCTATAAAAATTTAACGCATAATTTACTCTTGATAAAAATTTGGAGGCCTAAGGCAAAAGTCTTAATTTCCTAAGCATAGAGCCGGCCCTGAATATAGGCAAGACAGTACATTACTCACATACTCAAATTTTTTAATGAGTATGCTTCATTAAAAACAACCTTATTGTTAATTGGTAACAATTAACAATAACAAAACATAAATATTCCTTTTTCTCAATTTTATCACTCTAAGTAGAACTCAAACTTTTTCGGAGGAGGTAGTAACAAATATTAGTTGACATTAATAAATAATGAATATTTTTTTATAAAATATAAAAGTTTGGGGTAACTTTTAAATTTTTTAAATTTCTCAAATACTAGAACTTTGCCCAAATACTAATTTTATCTAGTATTTGGCCATTTGGGAACTTGGAATGCTTGGAATGCTTGGTAAATATATTTGTCAAATTATATAACCAAACACCACTTTTCAAGTTTTTCCCAAGTATTCTTGGGGCCAAATAGGTCCTAAGCTTTGACAATAGATTTTGGATAAGATTTTGATTGTATTGTTTTGTTGTTATTGTTAATGGTAATATTCACAATTGATATTTAAAAAAAATAAATTAAATGAGGATTAAATGACTTTTCGAATGAAATTAAGAAAAACAAATTTTATAAATGACATATTAAATTCGTTGTCTCCTCCCCAACTCTGATCCCCCACTTCCTGTCTTGTAATGTTTAGCTAGATTACACACAAATATTTTAGAAAATAAGTAAGAAACTCACTTGTTTTTTCAATAAAACATTTCATTTGTACCAAACACACTCTAATCTTGTTAAGCTAGGATTTGACCCCAAGTTCTCAAATATTCTTGGCAAATTATATTTGGGTGAAGTTTCACCATGTGCTCGGCCCCAAGTTTTCTTTAAAATATTTGATTATTTTAAATAATATGATTTACACCCATAAGTTTAAAAATTATATAAAATACCCATAAATTTATATTATCATTTTATAATGAATATGTTCCATTAAAAATAACCTTATAATATAATTGGTAACAATTAACAATAACAAAATAACAATATAGCATATAGGCAAGACAATACATTACTCACATACTCAAATTTTTTAATGAGTATGTTTCATTAAAAATAACCTTATTGTTAATTGGTAACAATTAACAATAACAAAACATAAATATTCCTTTTTCTCAATTTTATCACTCAAATTAGAACTCAAACTTTTTCGGAGGAGGTAGTAACAAATATTAGTTGGAATTAATAAATATTGAGTATTTTTTTTTATAAAATATAAAAGTTTGGGGTAATTTTTATTTTTTTTAAAATTCTCAAATACTAGAACTTGGCCCAAATACTAATTTTATCTAGTATTTGACCATTTGGGAACTTGGAATGCTTGGTGAATATATTTGTCAAATTATATGACCAAATACCACTTTTCAAGTTTTTCCCAAGTATTCTTGGGGCAAAATAGGTCCTAAGCTTTGACAATAGATTTTGGATAAGATTTTGAGTGTTTATCTTCAATTTTTTGTTTGAGTGTGATCATGAAATTTGACTAGATTTTAAAAATCTAATCTTCAAATATTTTCAAGTTTTCTTCAATTCACAAATCTTTAACTTTTTTCCAAATATAATACACGTCCAAATATAACTTCATACCCATTAGGCCATTTATATTGCTTTTTTGCAAATTTTATTTGGCCATAAAAATTACTCCTATCTAGTTTTGAAAGAAAGAAATAGGCAAAAAACCTAAAATCTCAATCTACAAACAAATTGTTTTTGGGCTAAAATGTAATTGTTGAGTTAAGTTAAAAAGTTTAAAACTTATCCTAAACTTTTGTATTTTATTTTTTAAAAAAATAATAAAAATTCTCTATTATGGACTCCAATTAATTGTGTTTGCCCTTTCCACTCATTAAATGCATTCCTAAAAATGCATGCTCAATATTATTTGATATGTATTTTATTTGGAAAAAATATAAAGGTTTGTGAATGGAAAGGAACTTTATATTTGAAGATAAAATTTTCAAAATATGATTAAATTTTATGGTCAAATTTAAATAAATATTCGAAATCTTATC